GTTTAAAAACATTTAGTTTTATGGTTCTCACGTTTGGAACTACAGCGGTGGCCATTAAATTAAGACCACGTAGTAATTAATTGACATTTCTGTACGATTATGAAATGTATAATTATTTGTTATTTTTGGGGGAAAATCATGACTGCAGTGACTGCGTTAAGTAGACCACACACACACGCACGCACACACACACACGCACACATACATACAAACACAAAAGTGGATGCAATACACAGTAACAGTATGAAAAAAAAAAAAGAAACTAGACTACAAACCCTACGTGCGTACAAAGGTACATCAGGAAGAGGAAGAAGAAGAAGAGGAGGAAGAAGGGGTAAAAAAGAAAAAGAAGAAGTAGTAGAAGAAGAAGAAGAAGAAGAAGAAGAAGAAGAAGAAGAAGAAGAAGAAGAAGAAGAAGAAGAAGAAGAAGAAGAAGAAGAAGAAGAAGAAGAAGAAGAAGAAGAAGAAGAAGAAGAAGAAGAAGTATGAGGAGGAAAAGAATGTGATAAGAGGTAGAGAAAGCTAGACACTTTTTAAAAAATACAACAATTGAAAGTTTATTTTCTTGTTTAGAATGAAAATATTAGAGACGCCGTTCATGTTATTTCTAATTACAACTGGAAAGCGTCTCATGCCAAAGAACGCAGAGAGATCAGATGACCTGCTAGTCAACAGTACTAGACGCTCGAACCAATTAATGAAGAACAACATTGATATGCCATAATATAATGACAGTGATATGTTTTACCATAAACAGATTTTATATTTGAGTTAGGGGGAGTAAGACTAGATTGGTTCTGTAAGGGTTAACTTGGAACAGGAAAAAACAACTCGCTGAATGAAAAATAATGACCTTGTATCTAATCAGTAATGTCACTGTGTTTTAAAATAGGCTAGAATTGTGCGACTCCGCCACAGACAGTGGTGAGGGGGGAGGAAGAAGAAGAAAAAAGAAGAAAGAAAGAAAGAAAGAAAGAAAGAAAGAAAGAAAGAAAGAAAGAAAGAAAGAAAGAAAGAAAGAAAGAAAGAAAGAAAGAAAGAAAGAAAGAAAGAAAGAAAGAAAGAAAGAAAGAAAGAAAGAAAGAAAGAAAGAAAGAAAGAAAGAAAGAAAAGAAAGAAAGAAAGAAAAACAAAAGAAAAGAAAGAAAGAAAGAAAGAAAGAAAGAAAGAAAGAAAGAAAGAAAGAAAGAAAGAAAGAAAGAAAGAAAGAAAGAAAGAAAGAAAGAAAGAAAGAAAGAATGAAAGAAAGAATTTCACATGAAAAATTATCTACTTAAAAATCAGAGGTGCACTGTGACCACTCTTCAAGTACAAGTTGCGTCTCAAGTCATTGCCACCAACTCCCAAGTCATTGCCACCAAGTCCCAAGTCATTGCCACCAAGTCCCAAGTCATCGCCAACAAGTCCCAATTGCCACCAAGTCCCAAGTCATTGCCACCAAGTCCCAAGTCATTGCCGCCAAGTCCCAAGTCATTACCACCAACTCCCAAATCATTGCCACCAAGTCCCAAAGCATTGCCACCAAGTCCCAAGTCATTGCCATCAGGTCCCAAGTCATTGCCACCAAGTCCCAAGTCATTGCCACCAACTCCCAAATCATTGCCACCAAGTCCCAAGTGATTGCCACCAATTTCCAAGTCATTGCCACCAAGTCCAAAGTCATTGCCACCAAGTCCCAAGTCATTGCCACCAAGTCCCAAGTCATTGCCACCAAGTCCCAAGTCATTGCCACCAAGTCCCAATTGCCACCAAGTCCCACGTCATTACCACCAAGTCCCAAGTCATTGCCGCCAAGTCCCAAGTCATTGCCATCAAGTCCCAAGTCATTTCCACCAACTACCAAGTCATTGCCACCAAGTCCCAAGTCATTGCCACCAAGTCACAATTGCCACCAAGTCCAAAGTCATTGCCACCAAGTCCCAAGCCATTGCCACCAAGTCCCAAGCCATTGCCACCAAGTCCCAAGTCATTGCCACCAAGTCCAAAGTCATTGCCACCAAGTCCCAAGTCATTGCCACCAAGTCCTAAGTCATTGCCACCAAGTCCCAAGTCATTGCCACCAAGTCCCAAGTCATTGCCACCAAGTCCCAAGTCATTGCCACCAAGTCCCAAGTCATTGCCACCAAGTCCCAAGTCATTGCCACAAAGTCCTAAGTCATTGCCACCAAGTCTCAAGTCATTGCCACCAAGTCCCAAGTCATTGCCGCCAAGTCCCAAGTCATTGCCACCAAGTCTCAATTGCCACCAAGTTCCAAGTCATTGTCACCAAGTCCCAAGTCATTGCTACCAAGTCATTGCCACCAAGTCCCAAGTCATTGCCACCAAGTCCCAAGTCATTGCCATCAAGTACCAAGTCATTGCCACTAAGTCCCAAGTCATTGCCACCAAGTCCCAAGTCATTGCCACCAAGTCCCAAGAAATTGCAACCAAGTCCCAAGCCATTGCCACCAAGTTCCAAGCCATTGCCACCAAGTCCCAATCCATTGCCACCAAGTCCCAAGCCATTGCCACCAAGTTCCAATCCATGGCCACCAAGTCTCAAGTCATTGCCACCAAGTCCCAAGTCATTGCCACCAAGTCCCAAGTCATTGCCACCAAGTCCCAAGTCATTGCCACCAAGTCCCAAGTCATTGTCACCAAGTCCCAAGTCATTGCCACCAAGTCCCAAGTCACTGCCACCAAGTTCCAAGCTATTGCCACCAAGTACCATTTGCAGTATATTAAACACCGATTCAAAACAAACAGTCAGCTTGCTGACAGTTAACTAAGTAAGAGGAACTTTAAAAAAAAAAAATCAAACTGCAGGCGTTTTCTATGCGTTTTACTCTCATGTGGTCATCTACATCATCCCGCGCTGAACACAATTTTTCAGTGTATAAGGGATAGGCTATCAAAATAATCAACACCCGTTGTTGCAAACTGAAGTGACTTCCTGACATGCGTGTGTCAATTACTGTAAATTCTATGTTCTACTTGAGTGAGTACCAGGGGCAGTCTTGGCAAGTAAAGGCGGATGGCATGATGCTGACCACATTACTAACCAAGTGCCGATAGGTCTATAAAACGTAGGTCTAGCCCTATATATCCAATAGCCCTGATTGGCTTGGAAAAGGGTTATCCTCCTAATGACGGTCCCAAATTATCGAGGCTAATAAAATACCCTAACAGGGCCTCAGTCATATGTAAATTGCGGACCTCTTTCCGGCGACTATACCGCATACCGCGGAAAAGCTTCCGCTTAGTTAAAGTCACCCCTGAGAGTTCCCCCCGTGAGTCCCAGCCATCTAGTTTAGTTCACCTTTAGCTGGAGATACTCTCGGCGGTGGTGGTATAGTCGCCGGAAAGAGGTCAGCAATTTACATATGACTGAGGCCCTGTTAGGGTATTTTCTTTGCCTTGATATTTTGGGACCTGTATTCGGAGGATAGCCTGGAAAATGCTCTTTTACTTTTTTTCCGTTTACACAAATTATTTGTCAAACACAGATAAAAGAAATTCGCTGCTTTCAGAAAATAACAGCACATGTGCAATTGTAAACTATAAAATCACAAGGACATGGCAAATTCAAGGTGACGTGCAAAATTTCGTATTGATCAGTACAGAAGTTTTCGAGATATTTGTTAAAATATTAGGGCACGAATTTTGAAACACACTATAGAAAGAATAAACACCAAGAAGAAGAAAAATGAGACGAGCGTGTCTTCTATTTTACGAAACAATTAAGTCTACCAGTTTTTAATTAGCTTGAACAGATAACCCGGATTTAACGTTGTTGGTATCTGCAGTGTGTTTCGTTTGTGATAATTCTATCCTTGTGATACAATTCAATCCAACAGAAAAAGGTCCAGATTATGTGATCAGCCGACTGTCGCATTTGAAAACAGTAATGTATTGTACAGCTAGTGCAGTTTTTTTTTACAAAAAGAGGGGAAAAGGGAAGAAGGGGGGGGGGGGGGGGGGGGGGGCAAATCGTCAGATTTAGAAAAATCGCTGATGGGTAAGTAGTAAGTGAACAAAATAAACAAATTAGAAAAACCTAAAAAAAAAATTTTTTTAATAATTAAAAAAACAAAAAACACAAATTTAATAAACAAACTATGACAAGGAAACTCAACAGAACGTAAAATACAACCAGAAGTTTGGCCAGGTGTTTTTTTCCCAAGAGAGGGAAAAAACACACACAATTTACAAACGATATAATTTTTATAAGATCACGATTGCAGCTCTTTATATTCAAATCATTGCATTTTATTTTCTGAATCCTGCAACAAGTTAAAAAAAAAATTACTTAAGCAGCCTGAGACATTAAAGACACCTACTGAAAACCATTACACCGGGCTTCAACCTGGCAACAATGTGAAGAAGACATTAGGTAAACCGATTTCAGAAGTCTTGGTCAATAGTTAGTCTGTAGTTGCACTTCTACCTCCCCGTTCCTCATTGTTTCCATTGGAAACCACACAGAATGCTTATCCCTGTCTCACTGACAATGCAAATAAACCAACTAAAGGCCCACAACAAAGCCAAAAGCATACAGTCATCTTTAAGGGCCTTGCTCGCTGACGTAGGAAAACATGCATATCACGCCTCTCTAGAGTCTGCAATCTTCAACAGCATGTATCAGTTCGTGTCTTCATACCCCTCTATGCCGTATCAAAAGGCTGCTAAGATTCGTCTCGCGTTGTCTTTCGCTGTCTCTTTTTTCCACAGATCTTTCCAGTGGTTACAGCATGTTACAGCTTCTTTCTTCTCATAACAGCATGGGGCAGCCACCAGTGTTATCAACACCAACAGTCCATTACTATATTTAGAGTTCCTTATCGATGGAAGCATCAGTTACAACAAATAAGCATATCTATTACCTCATCTGTCGGTGCACAAACTGCACTGGATGATGATGTTGATGATAATGATGATGATTGTGAGAATGATGATAATAATGATGAAAGCGTAGTTTCATCCAGACACACATGGAGAAGGCAAGGACAAGCCTTCTTTGTTTAAGCTGTCACTTGAGTGGCGTTATTGAGCCGGAGCTGGATGAAGGCAAAGATGAAGAGGACGATGTAGAGAATAGCTGCAACGCCACAGTTGAGGGCACTAGAGTCGTACTGGTCCCTCACATACTGAATGCTGAAGTTGTGGTCCTCCCACTTTGTGATGTTGCCTCCGAGCACATCTTCTAGAAGATTCGGAGTTCTGATTTTCAAGAAAATGGCCATCAACGCCTGGGAATGAAACAGATTTAGTAAATTTAGGCATAATGTTAAGTCAAATATACATCACACACAGAGATTAGTGATCAGTGAGGTTATCATGCGAGCACTCCGGACAGGTTCATAGGTGCTCCGATCTCCTCTTTCAAAAGCCCCACATGTGTAGAACAATTGAAGACGCCTATCCTGTGTTGAATAATCAAATGTCTTGTCCCCTTAGTGAAATGCTTATATCTTACAGCTCCAGGCTGCATTCCGATTTCCTTCAGCCTAACAGGGATACGGAGTCATGCCCTGTGATGTTCGTCTTCGCGGTAAGTGCTGCACATGGCATTGATAACCTCTCTTCTGTCCAGTACCGGACAAGCCATAGCAACCGCAGTATCTGTGAGATATTCGGCAAGCTCTATGCCCTGAACATCGACATCGCCTGGCACAAAGATAAAGGTTAGGGCAACCAATCGCTAATTGCTCAGTGTTGCAATCTATTCTCTTGAGACATCGCTTGAGCTACAAAGTTCGCGCTTTGTGTCACGCTTTTGGCAGACGTCTAGCCCTTCTGGGGAGAGTGACTGAGTCATATGGGATGCAGTGAATCCTCTTTGCAATTTTACTAAACCTCTTTAGACAACAATTTAAAGATCCATTGTATTAATGTATTATTAATGTATAAATTCACGTAGAAACTCGCAGAAAAAAACATAATAGTAAAATTAGAAAAAGCAAATGGCGCAGAATTGAGCCTTTCTGTGAAGGGGGTAAATTTAAATGTAAGTCAAATAGATTTACACAACAACTAAAACTACAACTACTAGTACTGCTACATCTACTACCAACCCCAATACTATTACCATCAGCACCACAACAGCAGCAGCAGCAGCAACAACAACAGCAAATACTACTACTAATGCTGCTGCTAATGCCACTGCTGATGCTGCTACTACTACTTCTGCTCCTACTGTTGCTACTACAACTACTACTATTTATGCTGTTGCTGCTACCAATACTACAACTGCGACTCTCGGGGTTCACCCAGCCTCTAGGAAATGGGTACCAGAGTGAAACTCTGGGGTAAATGGAGGAACGTCGTTGTAGTTACAGAGTTACGTGCGAACAGCGACACAGGCGGACAATTCTTATCAGCTGTCCGTACTGGTGGCAGAGCACTTATGGTTTATAACCGTGTGTAATGACGCTGGTTCAAATCTCCCGACTTTACCTTTACTACAAATGCTGTTGCGGCTTCTACTACTACTACTGCTCCTGCTGCTAAGACTACTGCTGCTGCTGCTAAAGGTTAGTTGCGTATCCTTTATAGGACGTTGTAGAACCAACCCCAACAGCCCCTGGCTGTTGTCTGGTTTTTCTAGACGTCCAGCAGTTTGCCACTACTTTATGGATATTTGGTTTCTCGATTCCATTTTCGAAACCAACGCAAGGCGCAAGACCCACTGCTGGGATCGACCCCGGCACCCCGGCATTTCAAAGCCCGTTCGCAACACCTAAGCCACAGAGTACTGTTGCGTATCTCAAGAAAATAATCTGTGACGACAATGATTGCCGTTTAAAATAAGATTATCGAAATGGTTAGTAAACAAGAAACATCTACTGTCACTATCTTGTTAGCAAACAAGAAACATCTACTGTCACTATCTTATTAGCAAACAAGAAACATCTACTGTCACTATCTTGTTAGCAAACAAGAAACATCTACTGTCACTATCTTGTTAGCAAACAAGAAACATCTACTGTCACTATCTTGTTAGCAAACAAGAAACATCTATTGTCACTATCTTATTAGCAAACAAGAAACATCTACTGTCACTATCTTGTTAGCAAACAAGAAACATCTACTGTCACTATCTTATTAGCAAACAAGAAACATCTACTGTCACTATCTTGTTAGCAAAAAGTGAAAGTTTGACACTCACCAGCATCACAATTCCCCATACACTTATAACCATATAGTAGATAGAACACTTGGGACCTAGAACAGGACAAGACACCATTTTGACAGTTGACTTTTCTGATCTATAGCTTCAACACAAGCAACAGTCTGTCACATGAGCTAACGATACACGCTCGCGACAAGACCATCTGATTTAGGCCTTCGCTCTCGAAATTTTCATTTCACTATTTCATGTTAGATAAAACAATTGATATTTCGGCAGCGGTTCTCACGCTGGTGTTGATGAACGGATGTAAACGACGTTTGTCCTCAAACTATTTTTTAGTTTTATTGTGTGTCTTCTCCAAAATGAAGGTTGACTACAGCGTACCCAGTGATGTCTTTGGGGACCTTGTGTGGTAAGCTCCTAATCGCTTCAGTGGTGCGACTCTCGTACCGCTGACTAAACATCAATAGAAGGTTTTAAAAAAAAAAAAAACGTTCTCCGTAGCAATCAAAGCCTTGTACTTCAGGGATCGTGAAACTGTTAAACGCGTTCACTAACCTCTGGTCCTCAGAGCTGCACTGTGAAACTATTCTTCTTCTTCTTCTTCTTCTTCTTCTTCTTCTTCTTCTTCTTCTTCTTCTTCTTCTTCTTCTTCTTCTTCTTCTTCTTCTTCTTCTTCTTCTTCTTCTTCTTCTTCTTCTTCTCTTCCCCCGTTTACCTGAGCGAGGTGTTGGGTGAGATGTAAGGATCGTTTCTGCACTTTTTCCAATGCATTGTACAATGAAACTATTGCCAAGGAATAAACAGACAACAATGTTTGTTGTCTGGATTTTAGAACTGTAATCAGAGAGCGCTCATTCAATCAGCCACGTGCCGTCTCTACAATGGCTGCAATAGATTGCCAATCTCGAAATTCGAGCACTGGTTAATACTCTGAAACAAAGGCAAATACAACAATCCTATGACATAACATCGTCATGATACAACATCACCACATCGCCATGATACAACATCACCACATCGTCATGAAACAACATCTCCACATCGTCATGATACAACATCACCACATCGCCATGATACAACATCACCACATCGTCATAATACAACATCACCACATCGTCATGATACAACATCACCACATCGTCATAATACAACATCACCACATCGTCATGATACAATATCACAACTTCGCCGTGGCACAACATCTCTATGACACCGCATCCTCATGATACAACATCACCACACGTCATGATACAACATCACCACATCGCCATGATACAACATATCTATGACATAACATCTTCATGGTACAACATCACCACATCGTCATGATACAACATCTCTATGACACCACATCGTCATGATACAACATCACCACATCGTCATGATACAACATCACCACATCGTCATGATACAACATCTCTATGTCATCACATAATCATGATACAACATCACCTATGGATATGTTTAGAGTGCAACGATCATAGCCAAACTAACTAACTAACTAACTAACTAACTAACTAACTAACTAACTAACTAACTAACTAACTAACTAACTAACTAACTAACTAACTAACTAACTAACTAACTAACTAACTAACTAACTAACTAACTAACTAACTAACTAACTAACTAACTAACTAACTAACTAACTAACTAACTAACTAACTAACTAACTAACTAACTAACTAACTAACTAACTAACTAACTAACTAACTAACTAACTAACTAACTAACTAACTAACTAGCAACCTCGCTCTGACATTACATAACCTCGACACTATATTACCGTATCTCCGTGTCATCAAATCCCCCTGACACCAATCACCACTTTACTATGACACCCCAGCACTAAGAAAACATCTCACTTCATCGCTTGTCACCAAGGTAAAATGTCACAACGTAGCCACGCCACCACGTCACATGTCATCAAGTAACATTGCCACCACGTTGCAGTATGACAAGGTTACTTGTCACCACGAAGCAATGTCATCCCAGGAGGTCACGAAATGATCACGCCGTCATATCAGACCGTCACCTAATGAAAACACCAACGTTTTCCAACAACTAAAGACAGAGTCTGTGTGAAATAATGCGAGAATCGTCGTAAAATATAATGATAACCTTTTCTAAGTGTCGGCCGTAAGAACGCACCATTGTATCAGTAGCCAGATTAGGTCCAATTCGATATTTGTTTCGGATTTGTCAGATAAAGCTTTAACTGCTTCATTACCATATAATATGCAGTGGGCTGATATTTAAGCGCTAAAGCGTCGTGTGTTAATAATATCATCATCATCATCATCATCAAAATCATTATTTATATAGTTATATTATTCATGTATTCAAAAACAACTCCTCAGGAAATTCATGAACATTAAAGGAGATGAATTAAAAATAATAATTAGGCACGACAGAAAGAACGAGAGATAGAAAGAGTTATCCTGGAGAGCCTGGGGGACTAAGAGAGAATGCAAGAATAAGTGAGAGAGTGTGAGAGAGTGTGTGAGACAGGGCGTTGGACAATGTGAGAGAGAGAGAGAGAGAGAGAGAGAGTGCTGGAGAGCCTAGGGGACTAAGAGAGAATGCAAGAGTAAGTGAGAGAGTGTGACAGTGTGAGAGTGAGAGAGTGTGTAAGACAGGGCGTTGGACAATGCGAGAGAGAGAGAGAGAGAGAGAGAGAGAGAGAGAGAGTATGCTGGAGAGCCTGGTGGACTAAGAGAGAATGCAAGAGTGAGTGAGTGTAAGAGAGAGTCGGAGAGTGTGTGAGTCAGGGCGTTGGACAATGAGAGAGAGAGTGTGCTGGAGAGCCTAGGGGACTAAGACAGAATGCAAGAGTAAGTGAAAGAGTGTGGGAGAGAGTGTGAGAGTAAGTGAGACAGTGTGAGAGTAGGTGAGAGAGTGTGAGAGTAAGTGAGAGAGAGAGTGAGAGAGTGTGAGAGAGAGTGAGGGAGTGTGAGATAGTGAGAGAGTGTGAGAGAGAGTGAGGGAATGTGAGATAGTGAGAGAGTGTGAGAGAGAATGAGAGAGTGTGAGAGAGAGTGAGAGGGTGAGAGAGAGAGTGTGTGTGTGAGACGTGTCATGTTATTTCAAATTCATTATTATTAGACATTTAACCCATTAATGTTATTATTAGACAGAAGGACCGCAATGTTTTCTTTGTGTCGGCGCCCTAGCGGAAGGGCACTGTGGTATCTACAGCTTCCATCAGTTCCAAAAGGGTGCCCCATAAGTTTCCATACATCGGAGAACAGGCATGCGGGACAAGAGAGATAACCCGCAGAATACAATGCCAGGAACAGCATGGGGTGAATAGGTCAACCAACCTTCCAGCAGTCAGTAGTTACAAACTCCAGGTGCCCTATGTAAACGTGTTCATCGAATGAGGGGTAGGCAAACTATGGCCCGCGTGACATAGCTGGCCCGCCGAGCACTGTTTATTGGCTCCAAGACTGGCGTAAACTACTTTATAATGTAGCCTTTGAGTTCACAAAATAGCAAGGCATAAAAACATACGTTCGTATGCAAAAAGAAGCAGAAAAGATCCAATTACCATTTAAAAAAATGATAACCTAAACATAAAAACATCGTGTTGCGAGGAAATCTTTTATGTTTAAAAATATCCCCCCCCCCCACCCCCTCCCCACCACCCTACCCAAATGGCCCAGTCGCCTGTGGAATGGAAGCTCTTGGGTTCGCGTGCCGGACTTTTTTTTCTTCTTCAAAAATGACCTTGACTCACAGGTCGACCTAGCCTTGGGTGGGTACCAGGTGCAGTCCATAAAAGTAAAGGCGGTCGGTGTGGTGCTGACCACATCACCCACAAAGTGCCGATTGGTCTATGAATATATAGGTCTAGCCACATTTTCCCTTTACGCCTAAAGGTGTGGAAGGGGGACCTTTCCTTGTGCCAATAGGGCCCGCGACCAAGTTAGTAGACCTAAATGAAAAGGTTGCCCACCCCTGCTCTACGTGAAAGATTATCTTGTCTGTTCCCATCTTTTCGCTCAATAATAATTAGGCTAATTTCCTAGCTGGTGATTTTTTAAATAAGTTTTTAAGGTCAAGTCCATAACTCTAGCGTGTCCGTATACATAACATGGCAATACATGATCCCTGACACTGAGGTCCTTGACAGAGCTGGACTGTCCAGTATTTACTCGATTCTAAAACAATCACAATCACAGCTTCGTTGGGTAGGTCATATAGTCCGCATGCCTGAACACGGACTGCCAAAAAGAATGTTCTATGGTGAGCTACTAAAAGGTAAACACTCTCAAGATGGACAGAAGAAACGTTTCAAGAACCGCCTTAAGACCTCACTGAAAGATTTCTGTATTGATTCTAAAAACTGGGAAATCGCTGCATGTGACTGCTTATCCTGGCGCAACTCTCTTTATCAGGGAGCTGTGGTCTATGAAGTTGCTAGAACTGCAGCAGCAATTCAGAAAAGTCAAGCCAGGAAAGACACTGAAGCAAATCATCAGAGAGATGCGGCTTCTATTTCCTGTCCACACTGCTCAAGAGTTTTCAGTGCTAGAATTGGCGTTAACAGCCATCTGCTCACTCAGAAAACATAACCCAGTCACCATTGGATGAAAGGACTGGTCATCCTCACTTGTGATGGACGAACAACTACAACCGTTGTCCGATCTTCGGGTTACTTTATAACTGTCTGGGGTTCCAAACTAACCTGCCGGTTGAACGGAGGGTTGTGGGATTTATTTCCACCTGGGGTAATCTCATCCAAACAGTGACTCGGATCTGGATGATAATCGATCAGTTTGCGGTCCTATTGGGCTTGAACTTGACTCAATACAGTCAAGTCAGTGAGACACTGACCGAACCCCACACTGGACCGCATATTGCTTTGCAACTGTAGGAATGCCCTAATTCAAATGTGTTATATGGTTGAAGGCATTGTATCAGGAAGAAGGGCAGGGGCCGATCATTACGAAGCTGTGCATAAGATATAAGTAAAGTAAGCAAAGATTCATTTTCACGCGTTTAGGCGCATCAGGCATATGCGAAGAGCGTCCATACTGTTACAGACTAAGCGGCAGTAGTTGGGTAATGTGGTCAGCATTACGCTGGCCGCCTTTACTTTCCAAGGG